AAAAAAAAACTTGAAGAGAAAGCTGAGTACGGCCAAATAATTAAGCATTTTTCATCTTTACGTATTTTCAATCAAACTGAGCATTAGCTAGAACAGAAGCTTGTCCTTGATTGTCTAGTGAAAGTCAAATTCGATAATTCGCCTGAACCTTACTTTGAGTGATCAGAATAAATTCGACAGTGCTAAAGAAATTTGCATCCATAATTTCGAAATCTACGAAGTGCTTGTTTTTTAAAATTTCCAGGCAATGACTTCATCTGCTCTCATAGCTATGGTATCCATGAACCGAGTAATGTAGAACAAGAACATAATTTGTACGATAAAACACTGGCCAACAAATTCCCTGCTAAACAGGTTTTGCAGATGCTGCATAAACTTAATGAAATCGTTTTTGTATGTAAGCAGAAGAAATTGATCCATACTATATCAACCCAAAGTGACTAAAGTTGTCTGAAAAAAAAAGTCTGAAAACTAGATATCTTTTCAAAAGCAAATGCATGGTTTGACATCAGGTACACTTAGTCAAGAGTGAAAAAGGCAAGTAGAAGGCACAAGAAAGAAAAGGGAAGAAATGGAGTTATCAAGGAGATAGATGCAGCAGGAAATGAGAAATTCAGTGAGCACTTGTGAGCATCAAACTAGGAGCTGAAAGCGTTACTGTCCAACTTGAGACTGGAAATATCCAGATTTGAAGCATAGCAAAAGATGGAAGTGAAGAAAATGAGTTAGATTCAAGATTTGAAGATCTCTGTCGAGATCTTAGCAGCGGATTTCGAGAATGTCCGCGAGATTCACGAGAGGTTACAAAAAAGTCTCACCAAGGTCGTTTATGACTGGTAAGTATCATATGTAGAATATCGCTCTTACCATCTGTACTGTATCTCTTGCAGCAGGCGTCCGAGCTGTACGTGAGGCAACTGCATTGGCGCGAGCGGATGCAGCATAATCAGTAAGAAGCGAACTGAAATAATTGGTTCATAGCTAGTCACGAAAACTATTGAAATTTTCACCTCGTTGCCCCGCCATCAGCGTACTGGCGAACGCTATCGCTAGCATGCCCAATCTTGATGATTTGCTCCATTTCGCGATCGCTAATTTGAGGTGCGGGTAAAATCAATTTGCTCCTTTTTTTCTCCTTTGTTTTAAATATTGATTCCGGTTCATCTTCTGGCCTTAAAAAAAGAAAGGTAGTTGATAAACTCCTGGGATCATTCAAAAGAAGGAAATATGGAAACACTTTTTTCTCTTGAGCTTTTCCTTGTCCTGTTTCCGTAACTCATTCTCGACTTCCATTCTCCGTGGTTTTTGGTGATCGGCAATTGCCTAAAGAATGAAATGCATTTATGGAGCGTCATGCTATGTATTTATTTTAGTGTGCTAATCTTGTACGACTCGCGTTATGATATTGATGATGATTCTGCCTGTAGAGAGAAAAAAACTCACTTTTTGGTGCTTATCCTCCCTATCTAAACGATCCTCTGTAGGATCATGAAAACCAGCAGGAACTGCTTTCTCGAAAGGAATCTAAAATTATCAAGCTGTGGAAAAAATATTACGAACATTTCCGAGCTAGAGAACAGATATGAATATAGATGAAAAACTGGAAGAAAATGTCCGACCTCTCCACTGTAGTCAATTGCATTTTTCTTTAGCCTTTTGAATCTTCGTACAAGCAATCCTGCTTCTCTCATTTCACGACGCTTCTGAAGGGAAGCCAAACGACGAGCTTCCGATAGTTGTCGCTCACGCGCCTGAACCACATGTTTGATAAAATTCATATTGCGGTCTAAGGCCTGTAGTTTCAACTATTCCTAAATATAGCATGTACATTTTCAAAATGGGTTGTCCTTGAAAAATTGCGCATACCTGAATAGACAAAGAGAAGACGGGCTAGGATAAAACTTACCTTTCTTTTAGC